CAGCTGAGAGGCCCCCAGACGAGGCCTTGGCAGAACTGCTCAGCATGGACCTTCACAAGAGGAGCTCCTGGGAACGGGAGCGGCTACTGGTCGTCAGGGTGTCTGGTCTGGTCAGTGTATTTTTTGTGGCTGGCTTGTTACTTGTGTTTTGGTTTTAATAAAGAAGCTGCCAGGGTTCATTTCTCAATGAGCTATAGACATAATTTCATTTGGAACGTATGGCATATCTTTCATCAAGTGCTTGCCTAAACAAAACCAGCCTGAATTCGGTCTTTGCCGTGACACCTGGGCCTGCTCGCCACCTCAGAGAAACCCCAAGCCTTTGTCTTCCAGCCGGGGAGCCTCTCACTGCAGAAACGCACTCCCAGCGTGTGCTGGGGGAGCTGGCCGGGGTGGGGGTGGGGTGACCGGTCCCTGCGTGGGGACTCTGCGGTGCCCATCTCGCCCTGAGCTTCATGACCTGGGGCGAGTTGCAGCCTCAGGCCCCTGGCTCATCCTGCAGTCGGGCCTCGGGGTGCAGGGCCGGCGAAGGAGGTGACCCTGCCGAGTGTCCAGCACAGTGTTTGGGAGTGTTTGGCGCTGGGCAGGCGGTCAGCAGGGTTGTACCCAGAGCCTTTGTTCAGTCCGTGCTGAGAAGGAGCTTGGCCCCGAGTGAGTGATGGCGGAGGGCTTCTCCAGGCGGCCTCCAGCCTGGGCCGCCGTCCGACACCCCAGGAGCATGTGCTGCCTGAAACCAGTCACCTGAGTGTTTGCAATCACTTTTTTTCTCTCAGTATTAATGCTTTTCTAAAAATGGCATTTTATTGAGCCATTTCTGCCTCAAACATCCATATAAAAGAATAGAATGTTGTTGCTAGGATTCCCTAAGTTTTAAGAGTTTTAGGAGAATTTCTAGTAATTTGGATATGTAAGTCTAGACATAAATTCATGCGTTTAACATCTCCTTCTCGGTTTTCTTTTTTGTGAATTTTGTCGAGTGTTTATCCAGGTGGCTGGAAACACAGGTGGGGGGAGTTGGGTTTACTGGCGGGGTTGTGGGGTGCGTGTCACGTGCCTCAGAGCGCTGGGGTGAGAGGCTACACGGGCTCTCATCGGAGGCAGCGATCAACGTGGAAGGGCTGCGAGGAGCTCACCCGGAGTGCCGGGGGCTTGATGCTCTGCGTAGGGAAGCTTGCTTCTGTGGAGACCTGGGACTTAGGCCTCACCCTGAAAAACAGCCTCCCATCAATTAGCTCAGAGTGAGGCTTCTTCTAAGAGACCATCTGAGGATAGAAATCTGTTAATGCTGAACTAATTGGAGCTACCTACTATTGAAAGAGCTTTATCTGATAAACAACGGTTACTGATTCAATGGACATGGTTTGAGCAAACTCCGGGAGCTGGTGAAGGACAGGGAAGCCTGGCCTGCCGCAGTCCATGGGTTGCAAAGAGTCGAGCGACTGAACAACAATGGTTTTTATTTTGGAGCCCTGAAATCGGCCAACTAGTTTTGTAAAACACTTGGGGCTAGAGGCGGAGAATGGGTGTTCTTGGTGGTCAGCGAGGCGGGAGAGGAAGAGGCTGGAGAGGAAAGACTGGACAGGCAAGCTTCGGGGGACCCCCGCCCCCTGCTCCGCTGTGAGGAGAGCAGGTGAGCGTGCTGGGAGCTCTGCAGGCCTATGACTGCAGGTGGCCTCCGCCCGCCCCCCCAACCTTGGCTGCACGGGGCACTCTTCAGGGCGGGTTACAGGGAGGTTAAATAAGCCCCAGGGATTGGGGTTTGCTGGTGGGGCCGGCGCACAGGCAGTCCTGGCTGGTCACACCCGCGCTGGGAACCGGTGGCCCTGCGCCCACCCCCCTTCCCCCCCGTGGGGTCCCCCATGCCCTGTGGGCCCCTCGGGGTTGCAGTCTCTGCCCCGGCCCCCGAGTTCCTTCCGACGAGGCAGAGGAGATGGCGGATTCCTCGGGTGGTTCCTTCTTCCTCCCGGCCGAGACACCCCGCCATCTCTCTGGTGCCTTTGAGAGGGGGCTGATAGAGGAGGAAACCCTGGTAGCTTTGCTCTGGCTCCCTGGGTCCCAAGGCAGCATCAGGGGGTGAAAGAGAAAGTCCTGCCCTGAGACCTTCTCACCAGGTTGGGACAAGGAGCCCGAAGTTCCCCTCTTCTGCTCGTGTCCAGCCATGTCTGTGGTGGTGGGGGTGGATGCACTGAATTGTGACCATGACCCATGTCAGTTGGCCAGACGCCTTCCTAGAGGTGTGGGAGGGGCTTCCCAGGCCAGGGAGAAGTAGGGGTTCCCCCCCAAGTTTCTTTGTGCCTCTGCTCCTGGAGTTGAATGGGCTTTGGATGTTGTAGAGACTCCTGGCTATAGGATTTCTGGGCACATCCCCATAAGAGAGTATTTGGCTTTGGGNGGCCAGACGCCTTCCTAGAGGTGTGGGAGGGGCTTCCCAGGCCAGGGAGAAGTAGGGGTTCCCCCCCAAGTTTCTTTGTGCCTCTGCTCCTGGAGTTGAATGGGCTTTGGATGTTGTAGAGACTCCTGGCTATAGGATTTCTGGGCACATCCCCATAAGAGAGTATTTGGCTTTGGGGGAGCGCTTTTTCGGTTTGTTTATAAACTTGGCATTGGCTTTGTGTGTATACATATCCTGTATGTATTTTATAAAAAGGCAGCTTGATTTTCAGCTGGGTGGGGTGTGGGAAAGACCCTGGTAGAGAAGTGAGCTTTGAGCTTGTTAGGAGGAGAACCCTGTTACAGGTCAATGGGCTTGATTAGACAAATGGCCCAAGTGTACTTCAAGTACAGAAAGCCTCTTTAGTGGTTAGATTAAACTGACGAGGCAAGTTTTCAGGGCATTTTTATTTGTTCTAATCAGCTTTAAAGATATTTATGGGAAGAATAATTTGTGTTAGAAAAATAGTGACACGAAGTTAAGCCGTCCTTTGAAACAGTAATTTTTAATCTCTTCGGGGCCATGTGTTGTACATGGTTTGTCCTCCGTGTTTGGGCCGGTGTTTTCAGGTCAGTCACTCAGTCGTGTCTGCCTGTCTGCAACCCCGTGGACTGCAGCACGCCAGGCCTCCCTGTCCATCACCAACTCCCGGAGCTTGCTCAAGCTCATGTCCGTCGAGTCCATCCAGTGTTTGCTGGGTGAGTGTTCTAGTGATTTCTAAAATGTCCCCAAAGCCGAGTGCTGGTTTAAAACCGATCTCACTTGCCTCTGCTGTGCTTGCTGAGAGCTGGCGCCCGCTCTGCAAGTAATAGCCGTCACCTGTGCTCTGCAAAAGGGTTTGCGCTGGGCCTCGCTTTCCCAGCTTTTCCCGCTTTCCCCGCTGCACTTGGGCGGGTTCGATCCTCTGCCGCACCTGTGAGGTCAGTGAACACTCAGGCATTGTTGTTCCCATTTTACCCAGAAGTTAAGACCTTGCTCAAGGTCGTGCAGCAGTGCGTTACTGCAGGAGGGAAACCCATGTCTTTTGAGTCTCAATTTTGTGCTTTTTCTGTTGCGATCTGCTGCCAGAGCTTGGGAGGCAGTTATCAGCGTGCTCGCCCTTTGGAGTCAGATGGCTCCGAGTTCCGTTTCAGGGTCTGTCACAGGCCCGGTGTCCTGGGGCAGATTCTGTAGCCACCATAAGGCGGAGATGACCCCTCCTTCGGGGGCGCATTTGGAAATGGGGGAGGGGCGTGCAGAAATGGCAGCCGTCTTTCTCAGGGTTCGTTCCACCCAGGCCAGGTCCAAGACTAAAGAGTTTCACAGCCTCTGACTGCACCTGCTTTGTGACCTGGGGAACCAGGATTTCAGCTCAGTTACGGCTGTCAGTATGCAGCAGCCTTATGCATTCGAACCTCCTGCAGATTGTCTTGTAAGATTTCTTCGATTCGGGTTTCTGCTCAGAAACGATTAACAGGATTCCTGTTGCACAGACTAAAAGTATGTGTTTCTGTCCTCTTGACTAGCTGGTGGGGTGTCTGTGTGTCTCAAGTCCCCTGCCTTTTGCACCTTGCCTTCTTTGCTGTAATTCTCCCTGAGCTTGGGCCTGCATTCCTTTTTCTGCTTAAAATCCCTTCTGCTCATCTGGCTTGAGCCTCTTCTCCTGAGGCTGCTGATGCAGAGTGGACGCTTCTTTTCTTTTTGAATTTATTTTTGGTTGTGCTGGTCTTAACTGCTGCCGGAAGGCTTTCTCTAGTTGCAGTGAGCAGGGGCTCCTCTCTAGATGTGGTTCCCGGCTTCTCATCGCCGTGGCTTCTAGGCTCTTGGACTCCGTAGTTGTGGCACCGGGGCTTTAGTAGCCCCTTGGCATGTGGATTCCTCCTAGGGACAGGGATCGAGCCCATGTCCCCTGCACTGGCAGGCGCATTCCTGTCCACTGTACCTCCAGGGAAGCCCTTTTCTCTGTTTTAAAGGATCTAGTAGACACTGTTACTGGAAAGTTTAAAAGGTTTATGAAGGCTTGGAAGGTTCTCATAGGCACCATCTTTTGCTTATTTATAGCTCCCAGTGTCCGTCCTTAGTCCTGAGAGCCTCACACTGGGCGTGGGGAGGGTCACTGCCTGGGTGGCTCAGCGCCCTCTCTGGACCCTTGTGATAGAACACCACCCGGGGCCACAGGGCCCTCTGGCCTCGCTGGCTAGTTCACCCCAGGGTGGCCTCTGTACTTGGGAGTTTCACGGCTGTTTCCTTCTCTCTTTCTGAGGATGTTCACTCAGGCCTCCTGGAATTCTCCTTGTCCCCTTCCAGAGGGAGGAAAGGGGATTTTAGCTGATTTTAGAATCGTGCCATGGAGGGTGTGCCGGTTTGTGAGTCTCCTGATCTGGGTTTTAATTCTGGTTCTGGTTCAAATAAGAGACTTCTAAGAAGCTGCTCAATCTTGACCGAGTGTTGTCAGAAAGAATAGCTCGGTGTTAAGTACACACAAAAGTAACCATAACAGCCAAAGTGGTTTCTGTTTACTAAGGACTGTTTAGCAGATACCATGCAAGAGCTTTCCTTTGGTCCTGATTTTATCCTCTGGGCAGCCTGAGGCAGTAAGGAGTGTCACCATTTTACGCTTGTGGAAGCAGGCGGGGTGTTTCCGTGACTCGCTGGTAGTATGGTAGAGCTGAGACCTGAACTCGGGTGGCTGAGAATGCAGGTACCTGTGGCCGCCTGGAAGCCTGGATTTCTGGCAGATGATTTAAGCACTCAGAAGGACCGCATTGAATCTCCGTGTTTGATAGCTTTTCCGGGGTAGGGGTAGGGGTGTATTTAGTGTCTTTTCTCCACAGGTCTTGTCCAGCTGCTCCCCCAAAGGATACTTTGCAGAATCAGAGCTGAGCATTTGTTTGGTGTGCCCAGCACCTTGTAATATTTTAGACCATGGTTGCATTTTCCTTGTCTTCTCCTTATTATGTGCTGAACTTTGGCTGGGGTTTTGATTTTTTTATTTTTATTGTGGTGTAGTATATTTTAAGATTTGCTCTTTTATTTCTTGCCTGTGGGGGTCTTCGTTGCTGCTCATGGGGTTTCTTCTCGCTGCGGCGCGCGGGGGCTCCTCTCTGTTGCAGTTCGTAGGCTTCTCACTGAATGACTTCGCTTACTGTCCAGCGCTTACTGTCCAGCACGGGCTATAGGCCCCAGGGCTTCAGCAGGTGCCGCGTGCGGGCTCAGTTGCTCCAAGGCATGTGGGATCTTTCTGGACCAACCAGGGGTCGAACCCACCTCCCCTGCATTCATTGCAAGGTGGATTCTTAACCACTGGAGCACCAGGGAAGCCCTTGATTTTGTTTTGTTAACGGGGCTTGGGTGTCGCCTGCAGGTTCCCATGCTGCTCACCTCTTTGCTGGGTTAGGTTGGCAGGGTCACAAGATAATGTTCTTAAGTGGAAGTCATAGTCTTGAGGGGGAAAATGCTCTGTAAAGTGTCATGAATACGGTTTTCAACCAGTGGCATGAAACACGTGCCCTTGCAGAAAGGAGCCCTGGAGCCAGGCTCCAGTTCGCATCAGCAGACGGGCGCTTCTCAGCTGTAACAGTGGAGTCATAGTGGCCTCGCTGGGGGCACGAGGAACCAGGTGCAGAAAGAACCAAGAATTCTAGTAGACTCACCCAGTCGGGATGCAGAAGCCCCGCGTTACCCCTCACTCGTTCCCAGCCCCCAGCCCTGCCCTGCCCCCACCCCCCAGTTGTGGCCCCTGGAGAATTCTCCATCCAGAGTCCTGAGTGCAGCCTGTAACCTGGGTGCTTGTAGACAGTGTCGAGAAGTTGGGGGGTCAGAGGGTAAGTCGGGGGAGCAGCAGGAAGTGGGGGCTGGGAAGGGCTGTGGGCCTCAGCTTCATGGCGAGTGCGTGCCTTCAGCCTTGAGATGGTGTGCTGTCCCCTCTGCTTTAAGCAGTGAAGGAAAAACGATAAGCTGCGAGGAAGCTGAGCTCTGCCTGCAGGGTGTGCAGGGGGGTCTGGGGGTGTAGCCGCTGTGGGTGAGCCTGGCGTGGTCGGGGGACCGCACGCAGGGACAGTTTTGGTTGGTGGGCGTAAGATAGGAATGGCGGTGCAGGGGTTTCCAGCTTTGTGAATAACAGATGGTGACACTGCTAAAAATGGGACCCACGGGGAAACCGACATGGGAGGATGAGGTCGTGGGAAACGGCTGGCTTGTAGCGCCCGCCTGGGTGCCTTGGGGAGGTGGGGAGAGCGGGGTTCTGAGGCCAAGTTTGGCTCCAGGAGGAGGGTTCGGTCCTTCACTCGGGATGCTTACCAAGTTCAGAAGAAGGAAGGGGCCCGCCTAGTCCAGACCCGCTGCCCTCTCGTCTGTTGCTTTGGGGATGGTGATGTGATAAGGTGCAGGTATTGGAGCACAGCAAACCTAGACCCTTCCCTTTTCGTTTCCTGTAGCTTAGCTTCAGCCCAGAGTGGTGCCGTGCAAACCATCGTATTCGTCTGAAGCTGAGGGCCTTTGAAGGTTGATTAGTGATGCCGGATGCATTTTTTCATTGCCAGAAGTGATCAAAAGAACACAGTAATAGCTGTTCAGGTTTAAAAAATATAAAATACTTAAGTCATCATGGAAGTATTTTAATGAGTTCTCTCGATGGGTCACGAAATGGGCTGAATGACCGTAGAGGCCAGAGTTCTAACGGGGCGCTCTGGTGGGGGTGGGGAGCAGGCATTGCACCCTGGGGTTTCTTTTCTCAGGGGGATCGGAATCCTCAAGGTTCGGGGACCGGACCCCTCCCTGTGCCGCCTGTGTGGTGACGGCCACTTCTCCTGGGCTCGTGCCTGTTCACGTCCTGCTTCCGGGAGATCCCAGGCTTTGGGGTAGCCGGTAGCCCCAGCACTTGCATGTCATAGTTCATGAGAAACATCTGCGGGACTGGTGACCCCAGATTGCTTGGGCACGTTCCCTTGGTTTTGGCTCTTCTGCGATCCTGAGCCAGGCTTTCCTGAGCTCGATGAGGGAGGGATGTGGGAGCCTTTGCAAAACCCAGACCTGTGCCTGGACCCCGTACCTCGGGGGAGCCGCAGCGTCTCCATATTTTGGTTGGTTTCAAGGATCCTGACCTTAGGACATGTAATGAATGCCCTGGTTTTTTCTAAATCTTGAAGTTAAACAAGACAAAGTGTGAGTGGGTAGAAAGGCTTAGAATTTCACTGACCAAGGTTTGCAGAGACAGATGGCTTGGAGTTGCCGTGATGGGGAGGGTGATGGAAAAGACTGAAGCCATAAGAATTAGGATAAGCCAGTGTCATCTCCTCCAAGTTTTCACGTAACCTCCAGGCTCCCCCAGATAGGATGTTGGGCTGTTTCCTGACCCAGGTGGGGAAGGTTTTGAGGGATGTGGAGAGGTGCGAGCAGAGAGGAGACATCAGTATGGGAGTGCCGTCTCTTACAGANCTTTGTGTACTAGGTCATCTCTGGCTTTGATTTCCTGACCGCGCTGCAGCGCTTGGTGACGGTCTTGTGCGAGAACAGCCGAAGGGCGGGGACCCTTGTTTGTTCAGGGCTCTGCCGTCATCATCTTGACAGATGGCTCCCTTCTTTTTAAAAATGTGTTTATTTTTCGGTGGCACTGGGTCTCTGCTGCTGCACTCAGGCTTTCTCTGGTTGTGGAAAGAGGCACTCTTTCTTTGCCGCGCACCGGCTTCTCGATTGCGGTGGCGTCTCTCGTTGCAAAGCACAGGCTCCAAGCTCGCGGGCTTCAGCAGTGGTGGTCTGCAGGCTCAGCACTGGAGGCCCCAGGGGTATCGAGCGCCGGCGCCGTAGTTGTGGCCCACGGGCTTAGTTGCTCTGGGGCAGGTGCAGGCTTCCCGGGCCAGAGATGGAGCCTGTGCCTCCTGGGTTAGCAGGGTTCCCATCTGCTGCGCCAACAGGGGAGTCTGTGGCTCCCTTCTTGCCAGGGGTGGGTTTTGGTTCGGTTCATGGCTGGTGGCCCAATGGCCAGAGTGTGGAGTGCCGCGCCACACTTGAGCAGGTGCAAGACCTGCACTGGCTTTATGGGTGCGGATGCTTGGGAAAGGGCCTCAGCGGGGAGGGTCAAGGCAGTAGTGAAAGCAGCTGTTTTTTCCTACGTGGTTTTAAACCCAGCACAAGGGAAAGGGGCAGTTTATTGAAATGACACACTCCTCTCCCGAGTACAGAAAGTCTGTCTGTCTGGACCCTGTCCTCAGGAATGGACACTTTTGTCTGGCAGTGGTCAGCGATCTCTGTTGATTCCGTTATCTGTTGGGCGACACATCACCCCAGAACTTGGTGCCTGAAGCACACAGTGATTTAGTGTTTCTCCCAATTCCTCGGGTTGCCCTGGGGCTTTTCCACAGGGCTCGCTCGGGCCCGCTCACTGCCCGTGGTCGGCGGGAGAGCTGCTGGCCTGGCCCGGGTCGGGCAGCGAGGACACTGGGCGTCCCTCCCTGTGCCTTCAGTCGGCCAGCTGTCTGACCCGGGCCTGGGTTCTCCCTGCCGGCAGCCAGCCCAGGCCTCCTGAGGGGCGATGGAGGTGCAGCTGCAGGGCCACAGGCTTAACCTAGCCCAGTGTTGCAGGATATCCCAAGGCCAGCTGGGGCTCGAGGGGAGCAGCAGGCACAGTGCAGGAGGGGCCCGGGCTCGGGGAGGGATCGTTTCGACGCTGGAGGCATGATTGTGACAGTCTACAGGCTCAGGGGAGGAGGTATCAGCCAGCAGTTGATCTGGGAGGCCTAGCTCCAAAGGCAGGATTGCAGCCAGCAGTTTGAAAGTTACCAGATACACACAAGATAAATATGGAGATCACACAGCCTCCTCCTCATCCCCTCCCCTGCCCGTGACTGTGAGAGTGTTCGGGGATCTCTGAGTGTCCCAGGTGATTCCCACCGGCCAGGTTTGGGGAGCATGGATCCTAATCCTGGGAGGAGGAGGAGAGAATGAGCAGGAGGCCAAGTGTGGAGCCTGGGGGGACGGCCCTGCGCCTGAAGAGGCTTCTGGAGCCAGGGAGGCTAGCAGAGGGCCGGTGGGGAGCAGAGCGGGGCGGGGCGTCCTTGTGGAGGAGCCGATGCCAGAGCCGGCCTGTGATGTTGGGGCTGCGGGTGCTGGTGGCTCTGTGACTCTCCGGGAACTTGCTGGGGATATGGTGCCCTGAAGCGCGGTGGCGGTGGTTTTTCAGTGGGAGAAACCTGAGTGTGTTGCCCAGGGCGGAGGTAGGGGTGGGGCAGGGGGGGGTGGCGGCAGGCGGAGGAGGGGCTCGTGGTTGAAGCCACGTCTCGGCACAGCGGAGGGTGGACTCGAAGGCCCTTGGGAGCCCTGCTGGGGGCAGCTCTGTGGGGTCCCCCAGGACGGCGGGTTGGTGGGAGGGCCCGGTTAACCCAGAGCCACCCGCACTGCCGGCTCTGTGTCTGACCCCTTACTTTCTGTGGGTCCAGTTGTTCTTGCTCCTCCTTTCAGCCCTCCTCCCCACCGTTTCACAGGGAAGGCCTGTCTGTAGGGTTAGCGGCTCCTCGAGGTTAAGGTGGGAAGGATCCCTAAGATGGGAAAGACCCCTGGCTCTCCGAGTGTCAGTGTCACCTCTCACTCCCTCCTGGGGGGAGAACTCGGCTGCTCACCCGTCTCTCTGGTCAAGGGAGCCGTTAGGGTGGGCGCTGGAGTCCTTAGAGCTAAACCTTATGAGGTGTAGGTGATATGTGTTTTTCAACTATTCAGATTGGTGGTTACGAGCCTTCAGAAGCCATTTCAAGGGTCTGACGTTTACCTGACAAAAGAAAACACTTCCTTATTGTTTCCTGGGATCCGGCTAAATATTTAGGCTAAGGCAGCGGCAGTTAAGTGCAGATGCATGGGGCTGTGTTTACTGGACACGGCCTGCTCTGAAACAAGCCAGGGTGTATGTCTTTTTCTCTGTTATATGATGTTGCTGATTAACCTATGTTTCAGTGTATACCTACCCAAATTTAAAAAGTTGGGGTGGGGTGTAGGGAGAAAAGTAGAATTTTTGGTTAGACACGAGTGATTTTTCAATAAATCCATATATCTGTTACGTTCAAATAAGTGGTTTGATATTTATTTATACAAAAGCTGGAGCCTTCCTCAGTTTCTATAATTGAGCTGGGTCACTGTTCCTGTTTGCACATTTGCTGTGTTTGATAGTGTAACTTGCACACGCAGGTGAGATTGAGAAATGTGTGTGTCCTGAGTGTGAAGACCTGTGATCACCACCAGCCTGATCCTTAAGGAAAACGAATCCGTCCTTAGAAAGACCATGGTCTGGACGTTGTTGATACACAGACGTTATCCAAGCACCCCTGTGACTTACTGAAGTTTCCCTTTTCCTTCTCTCCTGCAGAACCTAAAAGCTGATCCAGAAGAGCTTTTTACCAAACTGGAGAAAATCGGAAAGGGCTCTTTCGGCGAGGTGTTCAAAGGCATTGACAATCGGACTCAGAAAGTGGTCGCCATAAAAATCATTGACCTGGAGGAGGCAGAGGATGAGATCGAGGACATTCAGCAGGAAATCACAGTGCTGAGTCAGTGCGACAGCCCCTACGTTACCAAATATTATGGGTCCTATCTGAAGGTAAGGCTCAAAGACGCAAATGCGCGTTTCCGTCGGGCTGCGCCCGACTGAGACGTGAGCTGCGGTCGGGGAGGATTTCAGTAAACAGCACAGTGGCGTCTCAGAGGAAGAAGTGTCCCGACCTTTGCAGTCAGAAGGACCTGGCTCCGATGGTTCTCTCATCTTAAATGTCACTGACGGAAATGTATTTTCAGTAGAAAGTGTTTGATGTTGAAATTCCATTTCAAATAAGAAAGCGTTTCTGAGTAAGACCTTGTCATCAAAAGTGCATTTTTTTTTTAAGCTAGTATAATGACGACCACTCATCAACTAATTTTAGCATGGTTTGTGATGAAGGCTCAGGCCAACCTCAGAATATGAGTCTTTTGATATTTTCATATCAAATGTGTTTTAATTTAGTGTCTTTTTTTCTTTTTTAAACTGCTGAGGACTGAGAATGTTGATTAGTGAGCTAGTTTATCTCCGTTAGACTTTGAAGAATTCTCAGTTAATAATTAATTACTTAAAGTGGTGGTTACAGGATACTACTACAAATAGTCCTCAACGTTCATGCAGCTCTTCAGGTGGGAAAGAATTCTGTTAAAGGTGGCTTCCCAGTCCTGCATGGAAAGTTTAAGATTGTCCCTCGTGTTTCAGGTTCCTTAACATACATCTGTTTTACTGCATTTTCACATGGGGTTTCAAAAATCTTAAAAGAGTCGGTGAAAAGCTTTCTGAAATAATCCTTGTGGAGACTAGAACTCGGCAGGTAGAAAGAACTTCCTGAGGGGTCGGCAGCGGAACGCCTGGGTGACGTAAGGCCGGGCCTCGTCCTGCCGGGTCTGTCCTCTCAGGTTGCTGTATTGTAGCCGTCAGCCTGCTCTGACGTCAGAGGGCTGGTACAGGCTTCGATTTTGTGGGAATGTGGTAATAAGGTATAAGTGGGAGGATGGGACATCAGTGAGCCGTTGATTCACTGAAATGCATATTTAAAGGAAATAAATATTGGATGGTAATGCTATCTTTTTTTCATTGCCTAAAGAGTGGCAGTATGTCAGAGGTCAAGTGCAGCAGTTTGAAATGGGAAGAATAAGTTTCGGAGTCAGTTGTCCTGGACTTTGCGTTTAAACTTCCCTGCTTCCTCGTTTGTAAAATGGAGAATCATGGTATGCACCTCATTGTGGCCAAGAGTAAATAGAATTGAGTGTATGAAGGTATCTGGCTGTGTAGTGGGTACTTAATGAGTATTAATTTCCTTTCTTAATTGTCTGGGTTTATTTCTATTTATCTCAAATTACCTAGCAGTGGAGGACGTATCCACTGAGGTTGGAAGCAAGAAGGAGGCGGGTAGCAGTGACAGTTGCCGTGGGGGAGCATCCAGCTTGGGTCTCAACGGGGCACAGGGGAAGTGCTGTAAATAAGCTCTATTATTTTCATGGTCCCAAGAGAAGGGCACACGTGACTTCCACACGGGAAGGCAGAGGTCTTCTTAATGTTAAATTTCCTTTGAGAAGAAAAAACTAATGACTGAAGAGACTCACCTTGAACTCTGTCTGCTGATTATCACTTATCCTTTGAGAAATGACTTCAACATAGTTTTGTAGTAAATCGAGAGTTGGGTTTCATGTGGTATGCAGGCGTTGTAATTTTAACATGAATTGTGGTCGCTTTGGCAAAGAAAGTGTGGAAGAACCTCGCAGATTTTTGCTGATGAATATACCGGCTAATATCTAACTATGGAAGTTCAGGAGCAGTGGTTCAGAAGTGTCCCTTTCAGTCTTAGCTCCTCAGTGGAATTTTTACCGTGTGCCGAGTATATTGCTGAGCCACTAATCCCAAGTCAGTCTAACGTCCTTCTAGAGTCAGCGATTGAATGAGTTAACCTCATGTCAGCTGCTCCTGGAATGAACACCCTAGGTTTTTAATGGCTCAGTATGATAGAAGTTTATTTCTTGCTCACGCATAGCCCTGATCCATGGCTGGTTTTCCTCCAGTTACTAGGAACCCAGGTTCCTTCTCTCTTATTGCTCTTCCCCTGCCTGTATGGCTGTGTTCAGCCGCCCCAAGTCAGCTTGGGGGTGAAAACGGAGGCTCCTGTGGGGAGTTCTCATGCACACAGTCCAGGGCCAGGCACCTTGTTTCTGCCCACACGCCCTGGCCAGGCTCAGCCTGGAGACCACACCCGACCCGGGAGAGCCTGGGGGGGCCGTCTCATGGAGGGCTGCTGAGCAGACTGGTTGGTGCTGAGCCAGCCTGTCCTTTCCAAGGCCATCTGCGCTCAGAGGGAGGCGGAAGAACCCCAGGGGTGACTTTCCGCTCGCTCTGCTCAGGCAGGGTGAAGAGCGGTAATAATTCTGTCTGTGCTGCTTCATGTATTTCACCAGGCAGATTGTCCCGCGGAGAATGTAACTGCCTCAGAAATGCCATGACTAATATCACTGTTGTGAAAAGTTGCCCTTCATTTCTTAAACCTTCCAGTCACATTTGATGAAAACCCATGAACTGCTCTTGTTAAAACAGTGTTAATTAACTACTGTAACTTGAGCAGGACAAGAATCCAGACCCCTGGTTCCGGCCGCTCTTTTGTGAGAGAGTCACACGAAATGCCTTGGTCCAGAGGAAGACCCTCCAGTGACAAGCCAGAGGCCGTTTCCCTACCATCTCCATAGGGTTAGGTAGTTTGATTAGTGTGGTCCATGCTGACAGGGGCTTCCCTGGTGGCTCAGGTGGTTTACCACCTGCCTGCAATGCGGGAGACCCAGGTTCGATCCCTGCGTCGGGAAGATCCCTGGAGAAAGAAATGCCAACAGTCCATGGGGTGGCAGAGTCGGACACAACTGAGTGATTTCACTTTCACGTCCCATATTGTCAAGTAGCTTCCCCCTGTGGCTCAAGACAGTAAAGAAATGCCTGCAATGCAGGAGACCGTGCTTCCATCCCTGGGTGGTGGGGAAGATCCGCCGGAGGAGGAAATAGAAGCCCACTCCAGTATTCTTGCCTGGGGAATCCAATGGACAGAGAGCCTGGTGGGCTACAGTCCATGGGGTCCCAAGTGTTGGACACAACTTAGCAACTCAACCACGACCACCATGCTGTCAAGTAAGATACACTTTAAATTGACATGTAAGAGGAATGCATCTTTGACACAAAGTTGAAAATTACTGTGCTTGATGTGGCTGTTCCTGCCTTGTTAAACTCTCCATAGCTTTCAGAGCTAGTGTTTTTAGTCTTTTAAGTGGTGACGGGGAGAGGACCTCAGGGTTTCACCTTGTGTGAAGGGACTCTGACTCACTGGAAAAGACCCTGATGCTGGGAAATATTGAAGGCAGGTTGGATGGCATCACTGACTCAATGGACATGAGTTTGAGCAAGCTCCGGGAGTTAGTGATGGACAGGGAGGCCTGGCGTGCTGCAGTCCATGGGGTCGCAAAGAGTCGGACACGACTGAGTGACTGAACTGGAAAGGGACTTTGACACACCGAGACTGAGTAAAGAGGAAGTGAGCAGAGACGGGTTTCTGTCTTGCTGGATTCACATTAGAAGTCTCATAGTTATGCTTTTGTTTCAGTGCTGTACTTAAGGAGAAATTAAAAAACAATAGATACGTGGTCTAAATATATTGAATGTTACTGAAGGTCAGCAGAATGGAGTGAATTTTGACTGTGTAGCTGTAATCAGAGAGTTGCTGTGTAGCCTCTCCCCCCCACTTGCCGTTCCCCCGCCCCCATAGTAAGAACAAAAACACCACCACCAATTTAGGGAGGAGGTGGAATAACGCAACAGTGAAAACTTACACTGATGAATCTGAGGCCTGAAAAGGTCTTGAAGATGATGCCATAGACCTTTCATTCACTGCAGTTTGTTTAATTTGGGGAAAGTTAAAACCAGCTGGAATATTAACCAAAAGCTTTCGTATCCCAACCGTTATGTAATACCACTGGGACTTTCTGCCATGAAAATACAAGGTCATGATGAAACCCTGTGTTGGGGAGTGAGGAGTGGTTTGGGTGTGGTGTGCAGGAAAGAGGGGCTTCTTTGGCTTTGAGTTACTCTCTGAGGACATAAGATTGTAACAGTGGACAGTGAGGTGCTATAGATCACTCTAAGCCCGATTTCTTTTTAAGTAGCATTCATTAGAGTCACTCATTCTGTTCAGCATCTCAACTCTGTAGGTTTTCTGGTCTTGGGAAGATTGCCAGAGTTTTAGAATCTCTACTTTGAGATTCTTGCTTCAGCCAGGATTTTAGTCTTCAACCCTAGTTCATGATTACCTAACTGTCTCGTATCTTATGGGATTACTGTAAAGATTGAAATCACATAGGTAAACCGTCCAGCATGTTAGATATTTAGTAAATGCTAATTTAAGAATTTTTTTTTTAATTAAGGGAAAAGTTATCTTGCCAAATTTAAGTCTTAACATTTAGCATATTAAAATTAGGATTATTATTTTCTTTTATAATGAATTCTGTAATATTCTCAAATATCAGGCCAGTTTAATCAGTGCACATCAGGTATAGGGCAAAACAAAGCTGTGTTTGTCAAACCTTTACTTTTCCCAGTCATTTTTGTTGTATTATCGGTATGAAGGAAGCACATCCATTAGTCCTTGTCTAATAATGCATTCAGATCGTTGACTTAGGAGTGTTTTTCTTAAGTTCCTAGAACTTTTAGGGTAATTTTATCAATTGTATTTGTCAGAAAAGTAATACAGGAAAGTCCCTTCACATGTTTTGATGTTGTATGCAAGTACAGACGATTCTGCTGTGGGGTTGATTGTACGTTAGCATGATGGTTTCAGAAGGCTCATCCGTTTTGTAGCCTGTGTCTGTACTTTATTTCCTTCTATTGCTGGATAATATTCCACCCTACAAATGCACTGCATTTTATTTACCCATTTGGCAGTTGATGAACATCTGGGGCTGTTTCCACTTTCGGGCTATTATGGACAGTGTTGCCGTGAACATTATTTTCTGGTGTTTGTGTCAACATTCTTGCATTTCTTTTGGGTATGTGCCTAGGAG